AACCGCGGCCTCACGATGACAAGCGGCAATTTGACGCGGAAACTCAGCCGGAAATCATCGAAAATTACGAGCAGCATCAAGATCATCAGCGTAAAAAGGACTTAATTTTCGCCTTCAAGTGTGGAAAATGCAACCTCCTATTCGACGATAAAGATGAAAGAAGACTACCGACCGTGGGAAACAATTCAGAGGTCAACTGCCGTAGTTGCTGCACAGACGACCGAGGGAAGCAGGAGACCGCCCAGCTGATCCTCAAGCTCCTCAAGCAGCCCGCGCTCGCCTCTTCTCGCTTGGTCAATATCCCCCATCGGCGCGAAGCTGGCGCTTCCGACGTGTCCAGGATGCAAGAAACCGGCAGATTGTATGGATCGTCTTCCGATGCTATTGAGGTGCGGACATGCCTGGCTATGTTTTGATTGTCTCCCCCCAAAGAACAATCTCCTCAAATGCGCCCTGTGCCCCCCGGACACTAACTGCCCGGAAATCACCGGATATGCGGTTTGGACGCGATACCTATACTATTTGAAGGTAAATCGGGACGTGATTCGCGAAAAGTAGTCCAGAATTAGGTAGTGACGCTTTGGAAATATCGGGGGGGTGCTATCTAAAAAATGATAAATACAAAAAGGTGCGGATTCCTCGACCAAAGGCAAACATTTTCGCTTTTTTTCGGGGTTTTTGCGCTAGTTTTTGCTCTTGGAAAACAACCCAATGGCGAAAAACTATAAAAAAACCCGTAGCATTGCGTTACTAGGGGCTTCGGGCTTTTTGTCCCCACCCCGATAATGGAAAAGCACCAAATTTTTTTTAGTTGCAGTACATAGAAATGTTTTCGATGTTTTTTTAAGTAACTAGGCAGCTTTTGCAGCAAAAACTCCCAAAACAGGTTAGAAAAAAATATTTTGGAAAGTCAGAAATTTGGTCATTTCGAAGCCCAAATATCAGTTGTGTAGTATTAATTTATTTATAATTTTTCTTTATTTATCCTTATTGAATTTTGGGTTTTCCAGGCGGCCGTGAGCGCGGACCCGAGGCAAACGCCTTTTCAACGCCAGCGCCGAGCAGAGACCCGATGGTGATCAGCAGCTCCACCAACGACGTCGTCGTCCAGGGATACGCCGAACCCGACGAAGCTGGGCACAGTCGGGTACGTAATTTCGTATTTAAGTGACGGCTTTCGCTGATTTTAGCCGGCCAAAGCCCGCGCGCACGACAATTCACCTCCGATGAAGCGAACATCGTGGCCGCGCCCCAGCGTTTTCTAGCCGCCACAGATACGTTTGGGAGCCACGACAAGTAGAAGGGCAAAGGTTTGAAGAACTTAGTTACCTAGTTTTTATGACATTTTCCGTAAGAAGAAAATTTTGGCTCTAAAATTGAGGGATCTACTCAAAAAAATGTAATTTTTCAGTTGCGCGTGGCCAGCGTCGCCCCAGCCAAGACACAGTCGCTGCCAAATTTGGGAGCCAACATGCCCGGGGCGACCATCGAAAGTGGGCCCGTTCCGCCGGCCGCTGGCCTCCCATCCGAAGCGCCAAAGTTGTCCCGTAAGTTTTTGCAGCGGATTCCTCCAATTTTTTTGAATATGAATTATAATAGAGTGTCCCTACAATATTTTCACTTCCTTGGTCGTAAAAATACAAAAATCTAGATTTTTAACGCAAATTTCGCAATTTTGGAACATTTTCGAAATTTTAGACTGGGTAATCCACTTGAAATGGCGCTGGATTTTATCATTACCACTAGAAAAAAGTTTGCGTAATCAGACGTTTCTTGATTTGTGGGAAACCTGCAAAAATAAACATGTTCCGAGCCACAAGTTCAATTCAATTTTTGTTCCTTTGCATTACTAAGCATTTCTGAATTGACTCAGCAAAGTTTTTTATTTAATGATTCATTTTTATAGGCAGATTTAATTTTAAGAGATTTTTATTTCCCAAAATTACTTTTTTTGAAGCGCTCCCCTCGGATATCGACGCGATCAACCGAAAACGACACAAGGAACGTCGTGATGCGACGAAGTCGCGGCCGGTCGGCAAGAAATTTGTGCGAACGGCTGGCGGACAGGTAATTCAGATTTTTTGCCTTATTAAATATTTTTGCAGGTAGAAGAAGATTCGGCCAACATTTTCCGGGGTCTCTTTTGGGGTGATCTGGGCCCTGAGGTGTCGGAAACGCTGCTGGCAAAGGCCGCCAAAAATACCCGTCCTTTGTCAAGGCCAAGGTATGTAATTTTGAAATTGTAAATGATGGTACTTTTGCAAAGGGGGGGCTAAGTTTTCCTATAAATCAAAAATACGGCTAGGAACGTGATAGTAGGTATTTTCAAGTGTTTTTGGTTAAATTTAGCTATGCTTTAAGTAAAACTGCTTTAACAAAACCAGGAAACGGTCTAAAATTTCCCAAAATTGGTCGAAAAAATCTTTATTTTTGGTTGTTTCAAATATTTTGACATTTTTCATTTTGGCATAGTGGGTGGGAGCTGTGCAAAAAGCCTTTCTCTTTTTATATTTGAAAACTATCGTTTCAAAATGGTTGATCCCCCGATAATGCCAAAGCACCAAACTTTGTATTTTCAGGTAGTCCGCGACGGCCGTTCGAACAAGAGCAAGGGCTTCGGCTTTGTGTCCTTCAAAAGTCAAGAGGTATTTTTAATCTTAAATTCATGAATAAATGTTTGTTTAGGACTTCGAGCGTGCGAAGGTTCAAATGGACGGGGATACGTTTTCGGAAATCGCCCCATTGGGTTGCTGGCATCCAGGAAGAGAAAGCGAAGCTCGGCCTCATGTATTGAGTATCAATTTTTACCATTTATTCCGTTTTGATACTATTCACATTGTTTTTTCGTATTTATGTGTCGCCATTTTGTTATTGATTTTTGAGTCGGAATTCGTTTATAAATCGTTCTTTGGAAAGTACGGACTGGAAGAAGCATTTCTATGGATTATGCAACCAATGGATTTAAGCCTTTTTAGAAGTTTCTTCGGGTTGATTTTAATAGTTTTAATTGACTAGCTCTGTAAGCTGAAACTGATTCGTTGAGGCGGCGAAATTTGTATTTTGGAGGTAGATAAGAGCTATTTATTTTCGACAGTGAATACGAATCAACACATTGTTTGCCATGTTGGCATCCAGCATGCAGATTTTCGCGCTCTAATCCGTCGAAAGCTGTAGAAATCGCGTGCTGCTTTTCACCATTTTCCGCGTCCTTATCTTACAATTTTTGCGCTTTTCAATCACTCGAATTTCAGGTAAGCAATGCTGAGCAAACTTCCGCCACGCATGATGGAGACAATTCTCGGCCTACTCGACGTCAATGCTCACCTGGAAATGGCGCTCGTTTCTCAAAGATGTGGAAGATTGTCCGAAGAGACGCCGAAGAAGTATGGAATCGTTCGCTGCATCGGGCCCGTCAAACGGATATGCTGTATCTCGGCTTCTTCGAGTGCCGCGAGGCCGTCGACGAAATTCTCGTCTCTTACCCGGTCAAGTATCGCCAAGAAATTCCGTCTCGTTTCGATGAGTTTGACTCCTTTGGCTACGGATGCTTGATGAAGCTTTTTCTGTCGAATGCCACCATTGAACAGGCTTGTCTATACCGGGACTTAGCGCACATCGGAAGGGGGACCAAACTTTTTTTTTTATAAATCTAGAAATGCCTAGTAAATTAATAGAAAGTGCTTGAATAAGTGTTTTCGTAATATAGAAACTAGAAAAACTATCTAAAAACTTTTAAAAATGTCGAAAGGTAGAAACTTTGGTCAAAAAAGCAACCTTTTTTGGCCGATAAATCGATATTTTTGGTATTTTTCAAAGAAAAGTTGGAGAGTTTTCACATTTAGTAGTAAAAAACCATTTAGCCAACCAACTCCACCATTTATATTTGAAAAGTTAAGTCCTAAGAAAAAAGTTGGTTCCCCCTCCCCCGATAATGCGAAGAACCGTGTCCCTTTTCTGACAGGTTTCAAGCCCCGTTTTCAGCTAGAGGCCCCGTCACTCGCTTCGGCATCGAATTTTGGCTTTCGTTGAATATGAAAGTGAAGATTATTGCTCATCCGATGCTCGTTTCGCCAATTCGGCGCCTCCAGCAGTTTGTCGAAATGTTCTCATATTTGAGGGTTTCGATCCATTTTTTTGCAGACCACTTCAAGCTGAGGGACTTTATCTTCGACACGTTGTTCACGGATATCAAGGCCGATGCCAAGGGCTATGAAAGATTCTTCCAGAGCGACACGGTTAGTGGTAGTCACATTAGAAAGTGTTGATGCTGCTAGATAGAATTGACACTGGGCTGTTAGCGGGGGGGGATAAAATGGGGTTTGTCATTTCGAAGTAATCGTGCGCGGCCCGATAACTAAATATAGACCATTTTTATAGCTTGCTGCGCGGTTTTTCGATATATTTTTGTGAAGTAGAAAGCCGGTAAAAATGTACAAAATTTTCGCAGAAAAATATAGGAAAAATGATCAAAAAGGTCAGAAAGTTTTCAACATATTTTTGGAATTTTCTGGCGACTAAAAACTGCAAAAAAAACGCTATAAAGACGTTAGATAGCGTTTCACCAGCTATTTTCAATAGAAGCAACAACAATTAATTTGCCTCATCTGTTGACCCCCCGCTAACAGTCCAATACCGTAGAATCGACGGTAGCATGATGATTTTTAGGTGCGTTCGCTGGATATTCTGCAAGTGATCCCCTTCACTGGAGATCTTGGTTGCCTGATGCCGATTCGAGCCAAAGATTTGCTCATCGGCTGCTCGATCGCCAAGCGCAACGATGGCCAGCACCTCTTCGACTACTTGTACACAAGGATTCTGGTTTTTTTTTTGATCAGCTGCGTTTCGGGCAATCACAACTTTTCAGGGATGGCTGACGGGGATCGACAAAATCGACAAGATTCAAATTTATATGAGCGGGAATATCATGGATGGACGTAAGAGATAATGTTTTATATATTTTGTTATGTTTAGTTGTTGCGTATTTCATCAAGGAGTTCGTGCCACAACTCGGATGGATCGATCAGACATACAAGGGAATGGATCTCATCATCAGGGCCAGCGATGTACGCCATTTTATTCGAATATCTTTATCCTAAGATTTAGGGACAAGCGCTGCTGGCCGTTTGGGACGAGCCGGAGACCTGCCTCTACCTGATACAATGTGAATACAATTTCCGAAGGTAAGCGTTGTCTTGAATTACGGGCTCTTTAGCATTATCGTACTTTTCTCGTTGGAATTTCACTAAATTTCAACTAAGAAAAGATCTAAATGGCGACATTTTTCGAAAAATCTATATTTTTTGTAGTTTTTGATAAATATGTGTTAAGTTTTAAGGTTGAGAATAGTAAAAAATAGTTAGGAAACCCTTCCGGTATTTAGATTTGAAAAATTGGATCCTGAAAATAGTTGCCCCCCGAAATGCCAAAGAACCAAAAAGAAAAATAAGACAGATCTCATATTTAGGGGTCGTTGTCTCGGAAGTTACGAACGAAACGAAAAGTCGATCCGCCGCATTTGCGATTTGATGGTATCGTTTTGCGTCCAGGGGCTCTATTGACTGTTTTAGCGTATCGTCTCGGATCTCGCCGCCTCGCGCCCCGATTGGCCGGCGATGCGAAGGAGAAGCTGAGGGAGGAGTGCAGCAAGTTCAACGAGTACAACAAGCGCGCCACAAAAATGGATTTGCTGACGGATTCGCCTTGAAAACCATGGAATTCTTATATATTTTTCTAGATCTGGCGCCCGAAAGGCCAGCGCCAATCGCTGTGGGGTCTGAAGGCAACACGCGATCCCGGCTATACGATTTATCCGGTGAGTGAAATCGGTTTTTTGCCATTCTCAAATGCAAGAACTAACATTTTTATGGTTCAGGACTGTTAGCGGGGGTAGGGGCAAATTTTTTCCTGTGATTCTCTACGGCCCCATAACAACCCCATAACTTTTTATGGAATGTTAAATAGTTTTTAGCTATAAAAACAATCTAAAACTATTAAAAATTCCGAAAATATTTGGTTTTTTGACCAAAATAGCCGATTTTCGGCCTAATTTCCAAAGTTTTTAGATCGTTCAACCACTTGAACTATGGTACTGCTAGACATTTCTGGACTCTTTTGCAAAAAATTAGGCCCCCGATAAGGAGAAAAATCTGTTTAAAGTTTAAACTAAATTAACAGATTGTTTTCAGAGTCATCTCTCCCTGCTCCACGCCTACAGATTCACGAAGGCCTTCGAAAAGACGGGTGTGCTGCCGGATGTCGAGGAATTCAAGCCGTTCCCGGACGTTCGCCTCAAATCCCCGTACCTTCCCCCGCCCCCGGAATGAATAAGCGTATTTAATTGTTAAAAATGGATTTTTCGATGTTATTTTTGATCCTTAAAAATTTGGTGTTGATAATAAATCTTTACTGTTAGCTTGAGGCTTTGTGAAAAACATCAATTGTTGTTTGTATACACGGAATTCCTTTATAAATCGTTCATTGGAAAGTACGGTCGAGGAAAAATAACTATTCGATTACGCAGGTCAATTTTTAAAGGGTTGCGGACGGCATAGTCAATCGGTTACGCGCGGAAAAGAAAATGTCTCTGCGCCCGACCCCTGGGCGCGCTCTCTCCCCTGTTGGCTACTTGCCAATTTGTTGATGAGGGGGGATCGACACATGCCGTCGGCAGCCCTTTAAAGGGCTTTTGACGGCTGATTTTACCATTTTTATCTGGCTGAATCGATTAAAAGTATCATTTCTATTCGATTACGCAATGAAATTCCGAGCCGAGAACGATCTTATCAAAAAGTTTAGTTTATTTTCGATACTTAATAATAACCACTGCACTGCTTTCCATTCTGCCCGCCAGCATACAGATTTCTGAGCTCAAAATCGCCGAGTTGGAACGTTTTCTCGGGGATTGGCAGCGGGGTTATGAAGTGGGAGGGGATGCCGATGGTCGCTGTGCGGGTGCAACGCTGAGATTACATGATTATTATAGTTTATAGTGTTTAAAAGCATTAGGAATTGTATCAAAATTACCCTCTTTTCTTCGACATTATCAATTTCGCATTGATGATAGATGTCGAGATACGGGTCGATCCAACTGATCTCCTCATCGATGCCTTCTACTGCAAAAATTCGGGTTTTAGTTTCTACTTTATTTTAAAGCTTACTAACTTTCTTCATTTTCTTACAAAAAAATAAAACTGACTTGATTATATCTTTTTTGATAGGAAATTGTGTTTTAAAAGACAGATTTTTCAATTTCTGCGGTTTTTCTAGCGTCTGAAGGCATTTTTTTTAATCCAATCCCGTTTTCTATCGACTTTAAAAGCTATTTTGCATGCGAAATAATGAGAATTGGGACTTTCTAATGAAAACAATTAAAATAGCCTTAGATTCATCATTTTTATAGGAAAGTATGTTTTAGAGGACAGAAACAACTCTTTTTTGATTTGTTGCTTTTTTCAAGAGGTTTAGAGACATTTTTTAATAAAGTACGTACGTACGACTTGTAAAGCTATTTTTTTGTATAAAATAATGCGAAAGTACTATTAGTTTCTTATCAAATTTCAGCTGATTTTTAAGCTTCAAAAAGCCAATTTTCGTCCCGTTAGCCCGTCCTCACCTTCAAAAACGCCCTCATGATTCGTCCTCCCCAGCTGCATCGTGTCCTTGCCAACTAGAAAAATATAATAGATTTTTCTAGAAGTTTTAAACCCACAAAAATCGTCGTCATACAGCCGGACCGAGACGTTTTTCGCAGGCAAACCGGCGCAAAGCAACCGCCCTGTCGCTCTGAAAAATTCCTGTATGTTTTTTTGGGAATTCCTTAACCTCAAAAGGTAGTTTATAGCTTGTATTTTACCTCGAAAATTGCCAAAAAACTCACCTAACCGATTGGACGGAGCGGAAATCGAACCAGGCAGTGGCGAAAGGAAATAGGAGGAAAATTAGCAGCATTTCTCGTCATCAGCAGTAAAAAATGAGCCGTTTTTGTGGTATGTAGTTTTGTGGATTGATTCCTGATAGCTTTAACGATTTAAATACAGTAAGAATCGGATTACAGGGTGGTCCAAAAAAAAAAGTGAAGTTTGCACTGAAATATCTCGCGAACGAAAACGAATCGGACCATCGTTACCTTGCCAGAATGCTTAAATATGCTGGGCATGAAGAAATAACACAAGTTATTTTTTAAGATTTTTGACGACCAGTCGTTAAAAAGTTTTGAACATTTTTAAAAAAGTAAAAAACTTTGAAGCGATTAAGTATGGAACTTTTTATGAGGTAGAGAGATTCCAAGGGTATCAAAATGAAGCTCTTGGAATGCGCTATCAAACGCGTGGTAAAGAATTTCGATCGGTTTAACTAGCCGTCAATAGGAGCGTTCGGAAAATCCGTACTTTTCCGGAATGGGCGCCTCCGAATTGACCATAAAAAGCACCTTGCTGCCAAAATTTTTTGTACGTATTACATGCAATCCTGTTTGCCAAAGATAACCATGCTACAATTTCAACTAAAGGAGCCTAGAACTTACAAATTCGGTCGAATTGGCAAAGTGCCAAAAATTTTTTTGATCTCGATTTGAAAATTTTTGATGCCAAAAGTTAGTAGTTATACAGGGTGTCCCAAAAAAAACGAACCATCTGGCATTTCGCCGTGTTACCTCCAATCAGCCCAAAATTTGGACCAGAGGTGTATCAGACTCTAAATAACAACAATTCTGACTTATAGCCCTGTAGCTACAGTCGTTCTCGAGTTATAACGAAAATACTGTTTTTCCCGCGATTCTGAACCGTTTTTTCGGCTATCTTTTTGGACTTTGCATCGATTTGCATCGACTTCCGGCTGCGAATCCCTAATTCCGCTTAAGAACTTGGGTAATTTTGCGTTGTAAAAATCGCTTAAATCAAAGCCGATTTAATTAATTTTACTCTGGAAAAATTTTTTTAGGGTAAAGCATGCCTACCGGATCATTTTCACTTAATGTTTAGGGGGTCTAATTTCACGAAAACACTATGAAAAATCGAAAATAAAGTTTGTTTCTGCTATAACTCGAGAACGACTGTAGCTACAGGGCTATAAGTCAGGATTGTTGTTATTTAGGGTCTGATAGACCTCTGGTCGAAATTTGGGGTCGATTGGATGTAACATGGCGAAATGCCAGATGGGTCGTTTTTTTTGGGACACCCTGTATATCTATTGCTAACCGCAAAATATCAAAAAGATCGGATGGTAAGGAAATTTTATCTGGAATTATTTCCCCAAAAAGTACGGATTTTCCGAACGCTCCTATTGACGGCTAGTTAAACCGATCGAAATTCTTTACCACGCGTTTGATAGCGCATTCCAAGAGCTTCATTTTGATACCCTTGGAATCTCTCTACCTCATAAAAAGTTCCATACTTAATCGCTTCAAAGTTTTTTACTTTTTTAAAAATGTTCAAAACTTTTAACGACTGGTCGTCAAAATCTTAAAAAATAACTTGTGTGTTGTTATTTCTTCATGCCTAGCATATTTAAGCATTCTGGCGAAGGTAACGATGGTCCGATTCGTTTTCGTTCGCGGGATATTTCCAGTGCAAACTTCACTTTTTTTTGGACCACCCTGTATATCGTGTTTTAATAGATCCAGCAAAAAAATTAGAGTTTTTGAAAATTAAGGTATTTAGGTATTTTATGTAATTTTTAGTCAAATATAGTTGTAATTTGTAGTTTCCGAAGTGTTTTTGTGCCAAAATAAACGGAAATTCAGGAATTTCGGAACGTTTTGCCCTATTGACGAAATCGGAGAGTATCGGCCTCGGGGGGAAACCAATGCGAAAAGCGGAAGGGGGAAATGGCCTTGGCGACACAGGGGACCATTCTCTCGAAAAGGGTTCTACCAACCTGCGATCGGCTCCGGTTTTTTCGATTGTCTGTTCGGCAGTTTCTCTGTCTCGCTCTCTCTCTCTCACTCTCTCTCACCTTGAGTCATGGTCCAAAAACCCTGCAAGCCTTTCGCATTGGTCAAAAACGAGATCAGGTCTAAAAGATTACGCCCGGAAATTCCGTTCTAACTATCAAGGCTGTCTTTTCCCTAAGCCAAAAACCAGCTTACTGTAAAGTGTTTTTACTCAACTTGGAGTTTCGATTCGGGACCAAGTGCATCTTGTACAGAATTTTTCGCTGATTCCGAATATGTTTTCCAAATTTGCTACGGACCGTAATTCTGAAAGTTATACGGCAATTATGACCCTAGTTTTCACTAAAATGAAGGTATCGTTATAGTTTTCGATTTTCTTCATTAACTACAACGTCAAAATTGACTAGGCGTTAGCTCAACAAGCATCCTACAGCTCAAAACAAGAATTTTAGATAAAAAATGAGATTTTTATGCAAAAAGCAAAAGAAATGATGCGGGGCGGGGGTTCGAACCGCCGCGCTGCGCGGCAAGCGAGTACTTTGCCAATGCACCATGGTGCCAACTGGGTAGGGTGCTGTCAGAGGGTACTTCAGGGCCCCTGGGAACCATAGCCCCAAACAAGGAATAGTGAGCCAGCGTCTGAATTTTGGCATTTTTCGACCTAACTGTTACCAAAAATGATTTTTAAATAAAAGTCCGTAGCAAATTTGGAAAACATATTCGGAATCAGCGAAAAATTCTGCACACGATGCGCTTGGTCCCGAATCGAAACTCCAAGTTGAGTAAAACACTTTTACAGTTAGATGATCGAAAGCGTACCTAACGTTATTAGTAGCCTTTTTTAACCTGTTTTTTTGTTCAGTTTTTTCTCATTGCCCTAGAATAAATTTATCTCCATAAATTTTGCATTCATCAAAAAAACATAACAAGCATGACATGGAAAACATAGCAACGTGGAAATTTAAGAAATCAATTTATCGGTGGGAATGACGGCAGTCGGCCCGTCATCTCGAGCGCCTTCGCGTAGTCGTACGCGCGCCAGTGGATCGGGTTCAACTGAAACATTTAGAGCGTTAAAAGTCGACATAAAACTCGTGGTTCTGTCGCTTTATCGGGGGGGGTAAGAATTCCTAGCAATTTAGCAGTAAGTAGTTCAATAGAGTTTTAGATATTAGACATGTAATTAAAAAATTTATTTAGTATTTAATTAATCTGAAATAGAAACACAGTCGAAAAACTTAGAGTTGAATCGGAAAAATTTTTGTTGAAATTTTTAGCAAAAATCGGGCATTTTTGGTCGAAAAATTGATGTTTTGTATTTTTAGCAAAAATTTGTACTTTTAGACGTTGTAAAACACCGCTGAAAAGCGGCTTAGAAGGTTTCAGCCAACCCCCGATAATGCAAAAGAACCCGGTAATTCATTCATTTACCGACGAAAACGAACCGGATAGGTGGCCGACTGCTCGATACGACCGTCAACTGTTGCCCACGGGGAGCGCCGCTGGGATTTTGGGCGCCAGATCTGCAAAAATCGGTTTAAATGACCTTCAAAAATTCCGTTTTCTCACCGCGTCCGTCAACAGATCCATCTGCGTGGCGCCCTTGTTGTACGCGTTGAACTTGACGCACTCCTTCTCGACACATTTCAGCGTCTCCGCTGCAAGCTCCAAAATGTACCGAGATCGAAACTCGGCCAGGACCTGCAAAGGAACGTTAAAATAATGATCAATCAAAATTGTAATTGTTTTGGAAAACGGTAAAAATGATGGTAAATCTTCTAAAGTCAAACTTTGTAAACTTCTAATTTACAATTTTTCAAACTTTATTTGTCGAAAAATGCTGAAAACACGATGAAGAAAATACACTAATGTTTTACTCGACTATTACTAGACGTTTCAAATTATCTAAAAAAATTATTTTGGTCCTAAATCTGTTTAAAAAAGCGGCTGTCTAGCTCTCTGATTTATTTTTAAGAAAAATAAAAATTCATAAAAATACATGCAAAGTCGCTATAATTAGAGTAAAACCGACGATCAGTCCACAAATCCTAGCGAGAGCCGCCTCGTTTCGTTCGTAACTTCCGAGACAGCGACTCCTATAAAAATTTGGTTCTGGACGGTTAGCGGGCGGACCAAATCTTTCCCTGTGATTCTCTACGGCCCTAGAACAAAAATAAACCATTTTTATAGCATTTTACACAGTTTTTAGACATAAAAACAATAAAAAAAATCATAAAAATTTTGACTTTTTGGTGAAAAATTTACAAAAATGACCAAAAAGGTCAAAATTATAGATTTTTAAAAATTCTTATTTAAAAAACACTTTTATAACTTTCTGGCAATTCAAAAATCACTAAAAACATAATATATATTATCAACAGGTCCTTTCTGCTAAATATCCCCTGCGCTAGTAGTCCAGAACCGAAAATTTGCTAAAAATGCAATCATTTACCGTCGAAAATTATAGTTGCAGGGAAGGAGGTAGAAACAGGCATTCTCTTCATCCCAATAGACCAGCAAGGCTTGTCCCTAAAAATAGTGCATAATATTCTCTTGTACAAGCCCACATCGCTGGCTCTGAGAATGAGCTCCATTCCCTCGTATTTCCGATCGATCCATCCCATTTCAGAGCGCATCATCCGGCCCAGCTTATCGACCACTAAAAATTGCTCATGAAAATGCATATGAGACTAACGTGCCAAAAGACGAGCACCCAGCTGTCTGTAAAAACCGGATTCGATCTGGATTTTCCCGTATTCTTCCGTGCCGTGCAGCCAACGCTGCAAAAAATGTATAAAATTTGTTTTTAGAAGAAAATCGTTGGAAGTGTTTCTAAACGGTCTTTGACTATCCCTAAACGTAAAAGCGTGACAAATTTTTATTTAAAAATGCAAAAATATCGATTTTTCCACCAAAATTTAGACTTTTAGGCAAGATTTTCTAGTTTTATTTTACTGAAAACTTGATGAAAATCCTGCTATTAAGCCACAGGCATTTCTAGACTAATACAAAAAATACACCTCCCCACCGATAATGCGAAGAACCTAGCTTGAATTTACTAACCACTAGAGAGGAAAAGGGTGGTCCCCGGATTTATATAGTCTCATTTTGGTATAACAAGGGCGAAACGGTACCTGGATGAGTGCAGTAACAAAGACCTCGACATGGACCAGTTCAGCGGGATCACCGTCGTCGCCTTTGATAACGAGCAGCGAAGTCTTTGGGCCGAAGCGCGTGTATCCAGAAGAGATTTGTCGTCTCGAGCACCAGGTGAAGCGTCTTCGCCGCACGCAACTAAATCAAAAAGATGCTTAGCGAGGGGGATAACAACTTTTTTCAACAATCCAAATCTCCTAGAGTAATTGAAGTAGTGGTTCCAAATAGTATTTTTTTATTCGTAAACGTGAAACGTTTCTAAATGTCAGCGAAAAAACATACAAAGATATCGATTTTCAGACCGAGAAAACACTGCTGGTTGACCTGCTATTTTTTTTCTCTATTCTAGTTTTATTTTTCTAAGTGTATTTAGATAACTTTTCCACTTGAAGAGCAATTTAATTACTCAAAAAATACAAACTACAGGGCGCACGCGGCACTTTCAGTAATAGATTTAGAGGAAACCCACAGCAGGACTCTGCAAAAAGACTGCGCTCTCCTCGTGGCTCGTCGAATGATCGTTGAGACAAGTGTATAATAGAACTCGGCGGGCTTCACGTGCTCTGCAAAAAAAGCCAAAATTAATAGACGATGTAACGGCTTGCGTTTTTCTTAGGGTTTTTCCCTGGCTTTAACAACCAGGGTCCTGCAAAAAGCACGCACCGATAAATTGCTGTAGTTGGGCGGTGGAAGCCGCGCCTTTTGGATTGACCATTCGCGTCACTTTCATATTCAACGACGTCCAGAATGTATTTCCGAGGGCGGGCGGCAAGACATCGAGCCTGAAATTCGGGTAAATTTTGTGGAGCTAGGAGAGCTCGGAACAAATTTCGAAGAGTTGTCGAGTTCTTTCGCAATACCCAAACTTTCCACAAGCCAGCAACCCCTAGCAAGTATTTTGAAAAATTTAGACATATTTTGAGTCAAAGACTGTCCGAAAAGACTTAGAAAAGTGTAAATATGCATTTTAGGTAGAAATTGGGCTAATTATGTTGCAAAATCAACATTTTTTTGAAATTTTTAAACATATCTATGCCATTTTTACGTTTTGAACCGCTTTTTATAGCGCTGTCAGAAAAACTGGATCCTAGGTGGAAGGTTGAAAAAAGCGAATTGGGGATACCATAACGAACCTCATCAACGATGGAATTTGACAGGAAGAGTTTGAATGCGGACACGTGAATCCACATGCGGAAATCAGAACAATCCGGCAGGAGTGTGACTGTCCGGGACGGAAGGCGCTCGTGCTACTCCCTCAATAATCTCCTCAACTTCCTCGCCGTCGGTTGACGACATTACGAGCTGGATTTCCATGCGATTCGTCACCATCCAAAGCGTCATCCACTCCACAGACTCATCGTACACCAAATATATGCGGCGATAAGTTTTTCAAAGCGTCTCTTCAACGACTTTCTGCATCCTCGGCGAAACAAGGGACATCTCGATGTAATCCATCCGGATCGACCAATCCGAGAATTTTCTCCATCACACGTGGAGGAAGTTTGTTCAGCATCGTTTCGCTGAAAAAAATGGGATTAAATGCGAATTACGACGCCAAGAAAGGTATGAAAATGTGGTTCAACGAGAATTCGGACGGGGCGGAATTACGCAAAAGTGGCACTTGCGTTTCACCGGAAAGGCTAAACAACCCGAAGACTGGATATGCAGCCGTTTATCTTCTTCATTCGATCGATAAATTCCAACTAACTCGACTATAATATTTCATATTCCATCGAAAACCCGAAAAATGGCAAAAAATCCTATCCTATAAGCTAAAAAAGTATGTCTGTTTTCTCTAATGACGATTTCTCGGCCGTCGGCCCGAATTTCGAGCTGATTTTTGAGATGGAGGTGGAGAAACACATTTGCCAGGCACACCTTTGTTTGTTTTTTCAAAATTCCTTTATTTGACGTTGGTTCCTTGACCCAGGGCCTTGCGCCGTAGGTTGTTGTTCCGTTTTCCGCGGCAGGAAGACGAAAAGTTAAAAAACATGGTCAAAATGGCTATTTTGGGGCGTTATCGCGTTTGCCTTGAAAAAATGAAAACAAAAAACCCCGGCGGGGGAAGTAAGTTGTGATCTACGAGCGACAAACTGTAAAAAAAACTGCTAGAAAAACTGCCGAAACCTTTTATTATCGTCAAATTTGATCGTTTTCCATCGGACGTCCAAAAAAGTCCGCCGGACTTTTCAGGCCGAAAAGCCAACAATAGCCGTAGGCCCGACAGGAGAAAAATCATAGCTAGCGCCGCCAGGGCTCAAAAAGGTAATCTTGCGTTAGGATCGATTCTGGGGCAACGCTAGCGTCGGCAATGGCTCCTTGACTCACATTCTTGCGCCGCGAGTTTAAAAAAGAAGTTAATTAAATTGATGGTTTTTAAACGGGGTCCATGGAAAAGGGCCGCGAAGCCGTCTTTCTCACTGGTACAGCCAAAACAGAAAATTACTTACTAGTTGAAAATTTTGAAAATCGAAAATTTTCGGATTTTTGCTCGCGAACGAACCAAACTGGATAAAATGTCTTTCTTTCGCTTTTCTTTCAGTTTTATTTTCACTACGCCTTGCTTTCCTTTGCTTTATTTTCACTTTAGCGAAGCGATGCTGAACAAACTTCCCCCACGCGTGATGGAGACAATTCTCGACCGACTGAACCCACCGGATCGGCTACAATTGGCCGGTGTCTCCCCCCGAATGTGGAAAATTGTCGAGGAAACGCCGAAGAAGTACGACATCGCACTCATCTTCGAGCCGCCCTCTGAATGGGGCATCAGACTGCACGTTGATGGACCGATCGACTGGGTTTGCAAGATTGTGCCCACCGCCGCTCAATTGCCACGGTTCGTTTTTGAGTATTAGCTGATCGGAGACCGACTTTTTGCTTTATATAATCAATCTAGTTGTTCTAAGATGGATAGAGGAAATGTTTCTATATCTTTTGCTATTTCCAAACGAAAAACTTGAAAAATTATACTGCAAAATACAACAAAAACCACGACTTTTACAAAAAATTTCGCTTGAAAACGGTGAATTTGTATAAAAAAAAAAAGGGAAAATTGGGGAAAAGAGGGAAGGGTTGAAACGAAAAAACCAAAGGGACAACCGAAAAAACAAAAAAAAAAATGGAAACAGTGAAAAATTTTCTAAATCCATACAAAAAAAAAAAAAAAAAAAAAAATTTAAAAAAAAAAACAAAAAATTTTTAATTTAAAAACAAAAAACGATTCCCAACAACAAAAAAAAAAAATACTCGACCAACAGGCTTTTTAACAATTTAAAAAAAATTTCCCAGACAAAAAGGTTTAAAATTTCGAAAAAAAAAGTGAAAAAAACTATAAAAAAAAAAACACCCCCCCACGGCCCAAAAAAAAAGTTTGGTTCCCCCCCTAAAATTTTCCCCCCGTTAACCCAAGGTACAAAAAACATTACTAAAATAATTATAACGTCACTAGGTGTTTTTGGACTTCTAGGAAAAACTATTCCCCCCGATAATGCGAAAGATCCTTACACGGAATTTACATACTTTTTTAGCTGGGCCCTTCTGAAGTCTGACCCTACGATAGCACCTCCAGCAGCTTCTCAAGACAAGAGGGAGTATACGGCCCGCGCGAGGTATCTCCGTCTCTTCCTCAACAATTCCTCCGTCAAGTCGGTATGTTTATCGGTATTTACTGGACTGTTAGCGGGGGGTGGAGCGATGTTTCCCGGAATCTCGTACGACCCTATCGACAAATAACCATTTTTATGGCATTTTAAAAGGTTTTAGAAGCAGAAAGCTCATAAAAATTATGAGATTTTGCGAAGGTTTTTGGTTTTTGGTCGAAATGTATAAAAACATGGTCAAAAAGGTACAATTTTCGGATTTCCAAAATTTTGAAAGGTTATTCTAACTTTCTAGCAACCAAAGACAACTAAAAACACTAGAAAATATTATTAATAACAGGTCTTGTCACCCAGTTCCCCTCCCCGCTAACAGTCCAGTACCAGTTTCGCTTCTTTTTCTCGTAATAATTTTCCTTTTCGTTTAGTTTACGAGCCTGATGTGCTGTTACGGGAACAACTTCTGGTCCTCGCTGAATATGAAGGTGGAAGAGCTGTGCAATCCGCTGGATGTGCCCTCGTTCTTTGAGCTGCAAGGAATTATCGGTAGGCCATAATATCTTGGCGAACAAATCCCTTGCAGACCACTTCAAGCCCTCCCGTTTCGTCGCCCACCGATTCTTGCTGATCGAGCATGGCCAGAATGAAGCGCGCGACAAGTTCTTGCAAAGCCCCACGGTCGGTTTACATTTTAAAGCCCTTGCGATTTATCGGGGTTGGGGGGGGGCTAATTTTTATTTTTTCGCCTTTTGACAATAAAAGTTTATCTTTACGATGTTTTTAGTAGGTTTTTATTGCTAGAAAGTTGTAACAATTATTCAAAAAATTGCAAACATCGCAAATTTTTTCCTTTTTAGTATTTTTTATACATGTTAGGCCAAAAGTTCGAGAAATTTCGTGACTTTGAGAATTTTTAGGAGCCTTTCAAAAATGACAGAAAAATGAGTTATATTATGTTATAGGGCGAGTTACTCTAAAACCGCAATTTTTCGCCCGAACTTTCACCCTTAGAAAAATTCTCTCGGGTTTTTTTGAATATGAAACCCCCCCCCCCGATAATGCAAAAGTACCATTGTTGAGTATCTAAGCTGTGTTTTTCAGGTGCGCTCGCTGGAGATGTTGCACGTCTCCTTTTACTTCATCGGCGATATCCGCTGTCTGTCCCATATCCGCGCCAAGGATTTGCTGATCGCCATGAACAAGGCACGGGATATCGGCGACTGGCCAATCGTGCTCCATTTTGTGTCGAGTCGCGTTTGGGTGGGTGCTTTCGCCTCATCGGGGGTGGAACCAGCTTTTTTTCAGGGTCCAACTTTTCTAAAATTGAGACAGCGTTTATAAGCTGTTTTTATTAGGCCTACGCGTAAAAAATTTACAAACTTTCATTAAAAAAAATCAAAAAATATGGATTTTTCGGTCAAAATTTCAACAAAAACTTATTATAAGTTTTTGGCTTGTTTTTCCGGTTGGACTCTTGTTAAGTTTTCGTAAAAACTGTGTGAAAATACTTTATATAATGCTACTAGGCATTTTTGGGCTTGCAGCAAAAAAAGTTGGTCGCCCCGATAACGGAAAATTATGAACGAAATCCGCTTTAATCGTCATTATAGCGTTGGCTGGATGGGACGGATGAAATCGACAAATTCGCTCTGATCATCACGGAGTTTGGCCACATTCACCAGCTGCTGACATACTGTAACGGAGAGCGCTTCTTTTGATGACGGTTTTTTTAGACCTGGACAATCTGTCTCCTGCTACAATTGGATGGGTCGATCGGACATACCCCGGCATGTATCTCATCGGAAGGGCCAGTGATGTATCTTTTTTGGGTTCTTTCCATTATCGGGGGGGGGGACCAACTTTTTCTTTTGCGATCCAATTTTTCAAACATAAATTCCGTAAATTTCAAACATCGGAAATTTTTGGAAACTGTTTAATACTGGGCCTAAACCTTCAAAATTTACAAATTTTGATTTAAAAGCACCAAAAATACGGATTTTCGACAAAAAATGGCTGATTTTTGGCCAAGATGTCCTTTAAAGTTTTTTAAAGTTTTGCTAGCTTAAATATGGCTATTTTTTACTCAGAAATTAATAGCTTAGCCTTCCCTTTTTCCCCCCCCTTTTTTTCTTTTTTTTTTTTTTTTTAATGTTTTTTTTTTAAAAATTTTTTTTTTAATTTTTTTATTTTTTTTCCATCCCCCCCCCCCCTAAAAAAAAATTTTTTTTTATTCTTAAATTTACGAGTTAGTTAGTGATTTTAGGGCCAAGCCTTGCTCGCCTATTTCCACAGCGTCGAGGGATATTTCTTGCTACTCCGCTGCGACTACAATTTCAGGCGGTAATTTAGCTTTTGTATCGTAAAAATTATGTTTTTGTTCAGCGGGCGCTGCCTCGGAAGTTATCAGCAAAACGGACGGACCCTCCGCAACATTGCCGAGCTGATCGTACGTGTTAAAAATCGGGAATCGTCTCACTTTATCCTGCAAATTTTTTAATCGCTCACCTTTCAGGCCAAATGGGACCAACAGATGAAGCGGAACCCGAAACGAGTTCGCGAGGTCAAGGCAAAGCTGAAAAAGGAGTGCGCCAAGTTCAACGAGTACAACAAGGGCGCCACCACGATCGACTTGATGACGGATTCGGTGAGAATGCTGTTCGCAAATCTCAAATTCTTCCGCTTTTCAGCTATGGCGTACGAAAGATGAGCGAGGAGTGTCTTGGGGACCCCAGACTCTCCACCTTCTGCGTTGCCCGCTTTACCCGGTATGTTTTTTTTGGGAATTATTCGGTACTGAACTGTTGACGGGGTGGTTATATGGCCTTTTGGGTCATTTTCAAGTATTTGTGACCAAAAAGCAAAGAAATTTCGAAGAGTTTTAAAAGTTTTATGAGCTTTTTCCATCTGAAAATTGTGTAAAATGCTATAAACTTATTTTTATTATGTTATAGGGCCGTACAGGATTACTGGGGAAAGTTACTTCCCCCCTGCTAATAGTTCAGTACCAATTATTTCTGGCGTTATAGAACTTATAGATTCATTGTTTTTAGTTAGACGCATCCGTTCGGCACGCCTACCAATTGACGAAAGCCTACGAAGAGAGGGGAGTTCTGCCAGAGGTCGACGAATTCAGGCCGGCCACCGACGAGTACATCAAGTTTTGGAATGGCCACTTTAATCAATACATCACCGATTATGGTTCGTAATTACTTTTTCAACGCTGGATTTGTTAATTTTTGAATGTTTATTCCTATTTGTATTATCCCGCATTGCCTCTTTATTTTCCCAGCCTCTTCCCATTGCAATCATTTTCGGCTTTTTCTCACGTTGTTATACGGCTGATTTAGGTTAATAAATTGTTAGGGATGAAAAGGTTGGGCCATAAAAAACAAATTGCAAAGATTTTCCGGGTCTACGACCGAATTCTACCTAGCTCATTTCCAGGTGCTTTTGCAGTATCGGGGGGGGATTTTTAGTAGCTAGCTAGTGCCTAGGAATTTAATAGGAAGTATTTTATTAGTGCTGTGTTTAGTAGCAGACAGCTATATTCAAACCGGAAAAAAATATCGAAAATTTTGTTGAAAAGTCGAAATTTTGGGCAAAAATTGGCGGTTTTTGGTCGAAACTCTCTATTTTTTTTGTATTTTTTACTATGGATTTGAAAATTTTGAATAAGGGGTCGGCTAAAAAGGTTTAGAAAGACTTCCTCTATTTATATTAGAAAAATTGAGTGCGTAGAAAAAGTTTCCGCCAATAATGCGAAAGAACCTGCTTTTTCAAAAAACCTGTTCTAGCATTTCAAAATGTTATAATCCGCGGTTTCCAGCGAAACGATGCTGAACAAGCTGCCGGAGAAGGTGATGGAGGGTATTCTGGCTTTACTCGCGCCGAAGGAATGCCTATCGTTGGCGCTCGTTTCCCCTCGGATGTGGAAAATTGTCGAAGAGACCCCGAAGAAGTATGGAACTGTACTCGTTCGCGAAGCCCCGAATCAGCCGTGGGGCTTCTGGGTCGCCCCGGATCCGACGGCCTTGGAAGGCCGGGAGATGGCGGTTATGGAGTCGAGCCTGCCACCGTTTGTTGAATTTGGATTAGCAAAAGTAGTGCTTGCCCTAGGTTTCGGGATGGAATTGATGATTTTCTGATGCAAGTGGTGATTCGATCTAGGCCGCTGATCGCCGGCTGTGACGACAAGCAATATTGCTTCTACCGCTCAATTTGTCTCCGACTCTTCCTTACTAATTCCACTGTTTTTGAGGTTCGTTGCTTGGCAGGCGAGTTTTACTTAACAAATTTTAGCTCCGCGGTGTACGTCTCTCCTATGGACTCGAGTTTTGGGCGTCGTTGAATATGAAAGTGACGCGAATCTCCTATCCGGACGGGGTCCGTACGATTCCGCAGCTCCAGCAATTTATTGGTATCGAGTGTGTTAGCGCCGATTTTTCTGTTCAGATCACTTCAAACCTACGCAGTTCATCATGTTTCCAAAGTCGGAGGATACTCCACTTTGTCAGCGTAACCCCACCCAGTTCATCCAGTTCTTGCGCAGCCCAGTGGTCAGCTTTTTCGAAATATTGCAGTTTGGACGGCGACCAAGGAAATATTTGGTCTTAACTCGATAATTTAGGTGTGTTCGATGGAGAAGCTGCACATCGGAGTCTACTCTGACTTTCTCGACGATATGCACGACATCAAGGCCAAGGATTTGTTCATCAATTGGAATATCTTGTATGGTAAAAGGGATCCGGGACCCAAGATTGGATACTTGACGCAAAAGATCATGGTAACGAGCTTTTAAGGTTTTTCCGGAATTGATAATTTCCAGGCTTGGCTTGCGGGCAACCTTGAAATTGAAAAATTGCAAATCTGGTCGAATCTGAAAAGGGGAGCGCAAACTCGTCGACATTGGTAAGAAATGGGTGTATTTTTTTATCGAACGTTTTCAGTTCTCGACAGCATTGACCGCTTCCTCCTTCGTGAAATTGGAAAAATCGTTAGGAAAGACGAGAACATGCAGCTGATCGTCAGGGCCAGTGATGTGAGTCTCTAATACGGATGGTTCTTAAAGGGCTGCCGACGGCATGTGTCGATCCCCCCTCATCAACAAATTGGCAAGTAGCCAACAGGACAGAGAGGGCACTCAGGGGAGAGGCGCAGAGACATTTCCTTTTCCGCGCGTAATCGATTGACTATGCCGTCGGCATCCCTTTAAGGATTCCGGGGGGAGGGGGGAAGATTCTCGGGGGGAAACCAACTTTTCTTCGGCGCAAACCTACATTTTTTTAATAAATCGCGGAGGCGTTTGCATAATGGTTTTAACTATTCTTGAGCATCAAAACTTTACAAATTTTATTAAAAAATTAATTTTAGGTAAAAAATAAACACTTTCGACTTTTTCAAACAATTCCTAACTGGTTTTAAAGTTTATCCACTCCATTTGCAGCTAACACCTACTAAAAACAATGTAAAAACACTTTATATTCGATTACTGCGCGAACATGCACGGCCAGGAAAAAGTTGTTCCCTCTCCCCGCGAATCCTAAAGAACCATAAATACATATTCTTGTCAAATGTTAGGGACAAGCCTTGATCGCCTACCTCGATAGCAAGGAGAATTGTTACAATTGTTTCTACCTGATCCGATGCGATTACAAATTCCGATGGTAAGCTTGCAAATTATTGAACATTTGCACTGAACCTTTTATTAGGGCTCGCCCGGCCGACAGCTACGAACGAAATGCCGAGTCCCTTCGCCGCATCCGCAAATTCATGGTAACCGTTTTTTTTTTTGATTATTTGATAGACTTGCCTGTCTTTTTTGCGTTTTTTTTCAATACCGCTTTGCAGCGTCTCGCTTCGCGACTGTCGGAGCAAAATCCGGAACTGTCGGGTGATGTGTTGGCCAAGCTGAGGGGCGAGTGCATCAAGTTCAACGCGTACAACAAGGGCGCCACGAAAATGGACTTGATGACGGATGCGGTAGGAGAGAGAGGCTTCAATTCGAAAAATATCCTTTTGCAGCTTTGGCGCCCAAAAAGCGTGCGTCGCTCGCCGTGGGGATGGTGCGACGATGGGGGCATGCTGCATGATATCTTGTTCCCGGTGGGTTTAGGAATCGATTCGGAGGGTAAAATTATTCAGAAATGTTTCTTGTAGTTTTTCTGGGTCCTTGTCTTTTAAAGGGGGGGGGGGACTAGCAGTGGAGACAATTTTTTTTCTCGAGTAATTCCGTACCGCCCTATGGCGCATTTATATAGCATTGTGACCAGTTTTTAGATATAAAAACTGATAGAAAAATTGTCAAATTGTCAAAATTTGGCTTTTTGGAAATGAGCAAAATGACCAAAAAATCTAGATTTTCGAATTTTAACACTTATAATTACATACCCATCAAAAACTACAAAAATTATTTAAAAATGCGCTAAGTTATTAACCAATAGGTATGGGTGGAAAAAGAAAGGTATCCCCCCCGCCGTTAGCAGAGAAGCAATGTTTCTCCATGATAGCATTTCTTTAGATCGACATCTCGACTCGGCACGCCTACGATTTTACGAAGGCTTTTGAAGAGCGGGGTGTACTGCCAGAGATCGACGAATTCAAGCCGGCTTCGGAGGAAGAAATCGACGCCCACAACTCTAACTATCGCCAATTCGTTCTTTAGGCGTAGCCAATTGCACTTTCTTTTGCTTTTGAACTGCTCCCATTTGTTATGCATTTATTTATTATTTGTTGCTGGCTTTTCAGCTTTCCCCCGCGTTGTTATGCGTCATATTTCGGGTCGATAAATTTGTTATGAAAATGCGGGTTTCTTCCTGAACGCTTTGCCACGTAGAAGACAGATACCTAACCGCAAAATACGTCATATTTGGCACTGGTCCATTAGCGGGGGAGGGGGCAATTTTTCTCCATTAGTTTCGCACGACCCTATAACGAAAAATAAACCATTTTTACATCATTTTTCTTTTTTTAGATCGAAAAACCCATAAAAATTAAACAAATTGCGACAAATTTCGCGTTTTTGGTCGAAACGGTTAGAAAAATGATGAAAAACGCGAAATTTTCGAAATTTCAAACCATATTGGAGCCATTTTATAGTTTCCTATCAATCAAGAACCACTAGAAACGATAAAAAAGCTAAGAAAAATAAAAATTGCGTCGAATTTCAGCGAAACGATGCTGGACAAGCTGCCGCCAGAGATAATGGCGAGAATTCTGCCGTTGATGACCCCGGTGGAAAACTTGCAACTAGCATCCGCTTCTGGGAAGCTGTTGACACTCGTCACTGCGACGCCGAAGAAGCATGGAATCGTGAAATGCATTATGGAGGACGGGGCTTTGTGCCTGAGCTTCTCCCCCGGCCCAGACACCTTCAAAGTGTTCTTCCTCCCAATCGACGTGCTCATCGCTTCATTGGAGTAAGGGAGAAGCTTCGCGTGAAAGCTCTTTTTATAGGTGGGAAGCTGAAAATGATCATGGCATCGTTGGATTGATGGGCGGCAGTGGCGACTTGAAGACCCGCGTTTTTCGCACAGTCTTCTTCCGAGTTTTATTTGACAACTCGACGATTGACGAGGTGGGGGCGTTGGTTGTGCTTTCAAATACGAATTTTCAGTTCGTCGACGCGCCCCTCTCGTTCGGCAACGAATTTTGGTTCTCGTTGAACATGAAAGTGACGCGGTTCACGGAGCCGAAAGCCGCCGCATCCGTCGCTCAACTACAGCAGTTTCTCGGTACGACTTTTCGTCTATTACATCCGTTTTTTTTGCTATTTTGGCGTCTATCGAAAGCTGATAAAGTCGAGCAGTTATTCTCTAAGATTTTCGAAATTAATTTTTTTGCCATTTACTAACATTTTTGCGAAACGGACTTAATTTCTGAAAGTAGGAAGAGCATTTTGAAAAATCATGCTGTTCAATGTGCTTTTTCTGGAAACACAGCTTGGGTGGAGCTCAACCGGAATAAATTTAGTTTTTGGAAGAAAACGGGTCACAGCGGAAACAGCTAAACAACGAAGGTCGACCGGCTACGGCATAATTCAAATGACGGAGCACCGTAATGAGTAGCTTAACGTACCATCTCGTTTGTCTAATCGATTGCCTTAACTGAGTAGAAGCCGAATGCTTAGCAAAATAAAGTTTTTAACTTTTCATTTCTATTTTATCGTTTTCAGCGTACTTTCATACCCATGTCCCGACATTTTGTTGTTTCCCGGATGATTTTCACCAAAATTTGCTTTTATCTCGAAAATATGAGCTCGGACGGAAAAACAAAACTCATATTCAGAATCTACGCACAAAACTACCTTAATTCAAGATCTTTTATGCCGGAAACGAGCCTGAAGCTCACTTAAATACTTAACTTTTAACCTCGAAAACTTCCGACCCTATAAGCTGTAAAAATCAAACTACGATTTCCATGATTTTGTGCGCAAAAGACGCGCCGTGTGTTCTTCTACAAATCGTATAATCGCAAATTTGCTAATAACGTCGAAATTTTTTTAAATCGGCCTTTTTATCGCAATCCCCAGCTTTTTTTCGGGCGCCCGGGGGCCCCTATCTCCGCCAGCCTTCGCCCCAATGTGGTGACCTGACCACCGTAGCCAGGTCAGCCCAGCCCCATTTTCCCCCACATAATCGGTCCAAAAAATCCGCCCAGCGATAATACGACACAATCCGTTTACGAATTCCGTAATTAGTGTACTTGTACTTCGTTGCAGTTTTAAGTAAGGCTGTATCCGCTGTGCGGGTAACTTTTTTACGTGATAAATCCCGAAAATCGACCAAAAACTTCTGAAATTTCGAAAATTGGAGAGAATACCCGAACTCGCCTTTCGGAGAACTTTCTATAGATAGCAAAATCGCAAAAATTGTGCACTACGGACTTTTCGAGTATAGACTCTATTTCCAGAACACTTCCAACCCACCGAGCTCATCTACAACCATTTGTTCGTCGATTTCATTGCCCGGGTGGCCGAATGCGAGCGATTTTTGAGGAGCGACTTTGTGAGTCTCCCTTTAGCTGCGATAAACCTTTTCTTTAGATCCGCGGGCTGGAGAAGCTGCATCTTTTTTGCGGTTATGGGAAATGTGGAATGTCTGTTATCGACTCGGGCCAAAGATTTCCTCATCGGCATCACCGGATTCACCCCAGGGCCCATCTCAACAGCATATTCGCCTTTTTGCTGCGCAGGATTTCGGTAAAAATGCGTAGATTTTGGAGTTCTGGACTGTTAGCGGGGGGAAGCTTGTTGATGATAAATTCTGCATTTTTATAGTGTTTTTAGTACCTTTTCATTGCTGGAAAGGTATAAGAAATTGTTTTAAACACTTGAAAATTCGGAAGTTTGACGTTTTTTGGTCATTTTTCATACATTTTTGACGAAAAAGTCGAAAATTTTAATGATTTTTTCTCATTTTTCTGAATATAAAGCTATTTAAAATACTGTTCGCCCCGCTAACACTCCAGAACCGTAAAATTCTCAGATTTTGGAGGATGGGTTTTAGGATTGGCTGCACGGGGACGAGGAAATTGACAAGATCCAAATATGCGCTGGCAAGGACATTGAGGCCGACAAGATTTTCGGGCGCTGTGAGCTGAATAATTAGGAATTTAAATGGCTTTTAGTGGTTAACAGGGTTGCGGCGCGGATGACGAGCGATATCGGCTGGATTGACCGCACGTACGAGGGAATGGAGCTCATTCTCAGGGCCAGTGATGTGGAAATTTGGTTCTTTAGTGCTTGCTAGTGCTCTTTACTATTTTTTAAATAAAAACTGCAGACAAAAATGGATAATTTTCATATTTGCAGACATTTTTCAATCTCCTAAATGTGTTTGCACTTGAAATATAGCTATTTCGATGAAATTTCGAACAATAAAGACAATCCCATCGATTTTTTTGAAAAATTTGCAATTTTTAAATATTTTCAAAGTGTTTAAAATAATTTACCTCTTGTGCCAAAATTTTGCTAAAAAGTTGATGAGAATACTGGTAAAGGAAAAGCTAAAAAAACCGCCGATTTTTGTCCACATTCTCAAAAGGTTTTAGGGACAAGCGTTGCTGGTATTTTGGGACGACGCCGACGGCTTTTTCTATCTGATACGGTGCGAATATAATTACAGACGGTGATCCTTGTTTTTTACACATAAAAAACTGCTAATTTCAGTGGTCGATGCCTCGGAAGTTTTCAACGAAACGAGGACTCGCTGCGGCGGATTCGCCAGTTGATGGTCCGTTTTTATAATCCGCTTTTTTTTTTTGAATTTACAACAGGATTCAATGATCGATTTTAGAACCTATCAAAGCAGCTGCTCGAGCGCAACGCGGAACTGGCCGAAAATGCGAAGGAGAAGCTGAAAAACGAGTGCATCAAGTTCAACGCGTACAACAACGGCGCCACGACGATCGATTTGATGACGGATTGGGTGGGAATTTTGCATAGAAATATTAGAAAATGATGATTTTCAGATCTGGCGTCCGAAAGGGGAGCGTCGATCGCCGTGGGGACTCGTTGATCGAATCATCCTCCATGATAACGTTAATCGGGTAAATGATCGCCCTTTTAGCCCTGATTTTTTAAAATTGAAATTGAGGAATGGTTTTACACTATTTTTGTTACTTTCCCAGGCGTAAAAATATGCACATTTTTATTGAAAAAAACAAAAATATCGTTTTTCGACAAAAATTTAAAATTAAATTTTTCGATAAGTTTTTACATAGGTTTTCTACTTTCAATTGAACGTAATTTTACCAAAACTGCTATTGAAATAAAGAAAAGGGCGTAATGATTTTAATTTATCCCTTTATAGCATTTTATCAGTGAAAATATAAAATACAAATTTTCGGCGGATATTGAAATTTTGAGCCGTTTTTCGAGGTTTTTGTAAATGGTTTTCCCGCTGGAAATGTAGCTAGATTTTATCAAAACGCTAACAAAATACCTAAATGAAAAAAAAAAACTAGATTTCCTTTTCAGGTGGACTTTGCCCTTCTGCACGCCTACCGATTTGCGAAAGCCTTCGAGGAGAGAGGGGTCCTGCCCGACGTCGATGAATTCAAGCCTTGTATACGCAAACAATAGTTACGAATTGTGGTGAATTGAATCTGTGAGAATTAATAAAGTATATCCAATTTTTAACGCGTTCTTCAAATATTTGGACGAGCGAAAGTCCGAAATACTAATCGATTATGACGTGAAATTCTGTTTTTCGCTGCGAGAGTTCTTTAGCGTAATTTTAATAGCTATCCACTCCTTTGTCAGCTTCAACTTCAGTTTCGACAAATTTTTGCGGCTACCCTAGTCGAAAACAATTCGGTTCAGCTGGGCGCCTGTCCTTTCCCCTCTACCCATGAAAAGTCGATAGCAAAATATCTTGTGCAAGATATTGGCGCCTTCTCCGCCTTCCAGTTGGCTTGACGGGAAAAGGGACTTGTTCATTTTGGTCACCAACATTAATCTGATTTGATTTCGTAGGACAATTGAGAATCTGCTTTTTCACTAATTTTTGCACAAAATTTGCCCTTATCGCCAGAAGATCCTTTGTGAAAGAAATTAGCTTTGCTGTCATTGTTGCGGTGGTAGGAAAATAGTTCGAAAAAGATAATTTTTTCTGAAGCGAACATATTTTTCCTAAGTTGATTTTTCAAGCACTTTTTTCAAAGATTTATTCGCCTTACTACGCCTACACTATAGTTGTTTCGACACGGGGTGAAATTTTTCGAAACAAACTTGATAAATGGCCGACAAAACAGCGCCTCAGGCGGAAATTATTCTAAAAATACGTTTCATAGCATTAAAAATAGTCTTAAAAACACTACAAAGTAGTAAAAGCCGCCGCAGGCAGAAACCGCCCTGTTTATCACGCTCTTTTCATCCCCCAGTTACGTTGCTACTTTAATAGGGGGCTCGATTGACTGCGCATCCGTTTTTTTTTCAGAATGGCGATGAATCGGCTTGGTAATGGTGGGTTTGGTGAAGTATGGCTTCTCGTCGACATCGATCCGTAAGTAGTTTCTGTTCGTCCTGATTTACACTAACAGACCAATGGTGATGAAGAAGGCCTTCCATACAAATGATTATGGCAGCTATTTAAGAGAGCTAAGAACGCTAAAGGTGCTTTCAATTGAAAGAAAAATCACTCATTTTAGGAACTCTGCCATGAAAATGTTGTCCGATATTATGACGCCCCAATGGATTATCCTGGAATTGACAAAAATGAATGGCTAATGTTTATGGAATACTGCGAGCATGGCTCTCTAACTGATGGCACGTTTGATATGATTTTGCAGTACCCTTGTTATAGTTTTACGGAACAAAGACATTGTATATACAATGGCAACAATCGCCAAATGGTCGACTGAAATGTTCAGCGCCCTAGAATATATCAAAGGCAAGCAATTGGTTCATCATGATGTCAAACCGGACAAGTGAGCTCTGATCGGAGATTATAACGTGTATTTAGCTTATTCATACAGGGATATGACTACACCCTGAAACTGGGCGATTTCGGAATTGTCCGAGAGGTGGACAAGGCGGCGCATGGTAGTAGCGGCGGAACCGGGGGATACATGGCACCAGAGGTCAGAAGGGCGCAAGAATTGAGTGGAGAGGTCAGGGCCATTCAACGAAGCTTTTATTACGGACCTAGGATGTCTTCAAATGTGATATTTATGGAGCTGGATGGGTTGTGTTGGATATGGTGAATAGGAGGTATCCATCAGTGAGACATGGCGCTAAGTAATTGAATACAGTAAACCCGGAAGCAAGGATATTGCTGGGATATTACCGGATGGAATGTCGCATTTGACGGGGCTGCGGCTGCTTGTTTTAGGGTAAGTCACCTGTAGTCTCCTTGCGTCTAGTAGCTGTAGATGTACCAAGGATCAGGTCGAGGAACGCTTCGATGTACAACAAGCGCTACTACACTCTATGAAAATGATTGAGGTAGAAGATTTGATGAATTGTGTAGACCCAAGTTTCAGGCCTTTGCGTCGTTCGATCGGTTGCCAGATGTGAATCCACATAGCTCAAAAATCGAGCCGCCATATGGATTGTATGGAATGGGGCTTGAAGCTTTGCTACCGGCCGAGCTGCTCACAGCCCCGGGCGTCTCGTCTTGGTTCCTCGATTCGACACGCGACACGGGAAAGACTTCAAAGCCTGAAAAATCGGTGGAAACCCTGGGCCCACGAGAAAGGTTATTGATTGAGTTAAAAGAGCAGCTGGGGGCCACTACAGCATTGAAAAACGCTTCGGTTGGGCTGTCGGAGCTTCATTGCAATTACGATCCGGCCGACCCCAACTTTATATTGCTACGCGACGATTTTCGGGTCGAACGAGCCGTGCTCGAAGACTTTAATGAGCTTAGAAGGCTGATGTGCGATCAAATTCTGCAGAAGATTGGTGAAATGCCGGTTGAGGATCAATACGATTGCGCCGAGCAGCTAAATAATTATTGGAAAGTGGAAGCTCCGAAGTTGTTAGGAACCTATCAGCAATATCTTCAAGCAATCAACACGGAGCCGCAGACGAACAAATCTAGTTCGGAAACGAGAAAGGCGATAGCAGGGATCCTGGACTTGTTCCAAACGCTCGTCGTCTGGGATGCAGAGCAGCAGATCATCGCTCAAGACTTTGGCGTCCGGATGCTCGTCGAAACAAATCGTGGGACACTTCCCCATTGGGATATCCTACGACTGCTCGATCAGACCATTACCAACATTGTGGAAGTGGGCAAATTTTTCACAAAACGAATCAGCTACCCAATCGCCACCCTCGAAGGTTCCACCAGCCTGTGGTACGTTCTGGAGCATCTTGGGATATTTCTGCGGAAAGATTGCACCGAGATTCGTCTCGTGGAAACCGGCTCGAAGAAGCTGTCATATCACGACACACTTGAAAAGGAACCCCTGAACTACGAACAGATTCGGCGATCGTTAGTGGAAGCACGTACCGCCTACGAACGGAAATTGCAAAAGTGGCGGTGTTCCGTCGAAAATGGCCGCCCGCATCAAGCGAGACATTTCGCAAGTTTGGTGCTGAACGATGAGATGCTGGCAAATTGCTGGGCCTACAATATGGAGGATGTGTGCAGAAAACTGGCATCGGTACCAGGGCAGCCATTTCGGGGATATGTCTTTGTCTACGATATGCCGCCAGCACATAAGTGTCTGGCAGCACATTGTGAGGATGTTGGCGGTTATCCCAGCTGGGCAGCCCCCAAATTCCAAATACGACATCACAAATGCTCGACGCAAGATCAGAAAGACTATATTGAAGCTTATACCTTGATCTCTATCGCGCTGCAATATATCGCACGGTGGCGGACGTGCGAGTATTGGCTCAACAATTTACTCGTCGAATTGATCGCGGAAATCGAGGCAAAGGAGAGACAGTGGGCGCTGTTATTCGAGTGGGTTGAGCTGAATGACGGCTCTAATGCCCTATTATTCAAACTGCACCTTACAATGAAGCGCGGCACATTTGTTAATAACAATCTGGAGCTCGTGTATTTGGCGGAGAGGGCAAACTTTTTGCGCTTTGTCCCCGTTAGGTTGGCTGATCTGAAACCGATGCTCGATGCGATGGCGGATTATTATCAGGATTATGATCGTGTTAGCGGTGAGAAATTTTAGATAGCATTTGAATTTTTAATTGCAATTTTTTATCTAATTTTAACAAAAAGTTTTAGGTGGCGTGGACCCAGAGGTGATGCAGCCTTTGATAGCTGAGTTTTGGAAGACGATTACGTGAGTTTTTGGTTCAGCTCCAGCAAGTTTTCTTTAGGACTCCAAAAGCGAAAAATGGGGGTGCTTAATGCTCCCAACACGACGAATTTTCTGATTTCTTTTTTGCCATATTTTGCTTCAAACGCTTGGAAACACATTGTCGTTTCGAAAGCTTGACATTGCGCATTTCTCCAAATCTTTGTTTCTGAGATACTTCTGTTATTTTGTGTCTGATTGAATTTCCCCCAAAGCCGAATTCCGTATGAGAAACGGCTGGAAAACCTTGCATATTTTCTTTAAACGAGCCAAAAATCTTATCGATCACGCCAATGGACCCATTAGGTTTTCGATGTTGGCGGTATTTTGTAGTTGCATATTTTGGATTCGATAAACGCAGAAAACTTTATACTGACAGCCAAAAATCCAGGCATTTCCGGATATGTTCAACCCAGCCGGGAGAGATAGAGCTGCTGCTTCATCGTCGAGAGGGGGAGGGCACGATGCTCGCGGGAGTCTGGAATTGACGGCGGTATTTTCAGAAAACGAGGAAATCTAAACCAGGAAAGGCATAGAAATAGCCAGACATGGAAAACGGCCGGGCCGCCGGCTTTTTCCGGCCGGAAAAATTAGCATGCGGCCGAGCCGCACGGTTTGGCCGGAGCTTCCGGTCCGGCCGGTTTCAAAGCTAAGAACTGTGTTCGTTCTCTCCGTTTCTCGCTTTCGCTTTCTATCTCTCTCTCTCTCTCTCTCTCTCTCTCTCTCTCTCTCTCTCTCTTTTCTCTCTCTCTCTCTCTCTCTCTCGCAGTAACCCACCGGAACGCTTTTTGATGAGATACGCCGGGTTCATCATATACGTCGCGTCGAAACCCTCGGCCCCCGTCGGGTCGAAAATTACTGAAAAGTCTACAAAATTCGATTATTTTTCTGGAATTTTGGGGCAAACTAGCAGTGATTCCTTAGGAATCGTCAAACTGGGTTCTCGGCAAGCTAGCGGAGGCGATCTGGGAGCGATTTTTGCGAAAAATTGAAAATATTATCTGTCTGGCAGCGTTTCTTTAGGAATCGCTAAGCTGGAGTACAGGGAAGATAGCTGAGACCATTTGGGAGCCAAAACACCTACCGTATGCGGGGCTAGCCGCGGCGAGACCCAGAATGAAGACGAGAATGCAGAGGAAGTGGCGAAGCATTTTGGCGCTACAAAATTGGATTACGGTATAATTCGCTCCACAATTTCTGAGGAATATAGAAAACAAAATTGGAAAAACGATTTTTGGGGTTACGGTAGGCTACCGTAGCCCCTGTAAATCGTCAACAATGACAAACCATTGAGCCAAATGATCTGGGAGAATATTTGTGGAAAGGCCAGTGAAATGTCAGGGAGTGTCAGCAGGTGTAAAATGTCGTGGAATCGCATCATTAGATGGCTACGATGTAATAAAAAATCCAGGTCAAACATTAATTGGTTACAAACTAGAAAATTTAAATTGGAGGCCACTACGGGCCCGTACTCTTGACGGCCCTTTAAACTGACTGCCAGGAAGTCCAGAAATTCCGTAAAACTTGCAAAAATTTAGGAAAACGCTTTTAAAAGGTGTAAATGGCTAAACTGACCAAAAATCTTCAAATTCTCGCATGAAATCTTGTTTAATTTGTTTTTAAAATATTTTCTGCGGACAAACCGCTAAACGGGCAACCAGTAAATACAAAATATGGGTTAAAAGTTGTAAAACTCATTGAAGAACTTTTTAACGTGACTGTACTATGGACGGAACGCCAAACTGACATCCAGAAATTCGAAAATTTTCTTAAAAGCCTTTTAAAAACGGTAGTAAAAAGTTTAAGGGATAAAAATGCCACACTGGCTGCAAACTAGCTGAAATTTCCTGTTAGATTCCGTTAAATGCCCAAAACGTGACACAGAAGTGCAAATGACGTCGGAAATAAATCGACGTTCAGGAAATCCTAAAAAGTTAGCTTTGAAAAAGTAAAACTAGAATGGAGCACGTCTTCCGATAAAATCTGAGATTCGAGAGGAAACCCCAAATCCACTTCCTCTCCGTGATTTCCCCCAAAATCGCCTGTTTTCCATAACAACTCTCTTCTTCCTCTTTTTTCGCAAAAGCCTTGATTTTTGAATTCCGTTAGATTTTAATGTGTTCCGAACTTTGCAAATGACGGTAATTAGGCGAAAAAATCAGATTTTAAAATCATAAATCTAAAAATAAATATTTGTTTACGCTAAGAAAATGCAAAAATGAAAATGGTTGCTCTCGCCAAAATTTGCAAGGAAAAATCAAAATTTTTAACCAAGGTTTAATAGATTACGCCATGAAACGAAAATTTTTTTAGAAAAATGGTTCGTAGTTTGTAGCCAGATTTTGGAAAATCCTATTTTCCAGTTTTTTTCGCACCTGATTAATCGATTACGCGATGAAAATGGTTGTTAAAATTCGAGATTCGAGGTGAGATTCGACAAAAAAGCGTGCTTTTCCGAAAATGAATTTACGCAGCCAAATAAGCCTCTTGTTGGTCTCTTTTAAAGGTACGTGAGGGTATGGTGTACTAGCGTAGCTGCGCGTAGCCCAGCGGCGTATCGTAGCGTAGCGCATCGTATCATGAATTATCTCAGGGTTAAACTTTCAACGTAAGGCTGCGTAGCATAACGTAACCTACATAGCGTAAGATGTCATAGTGTTTTATAGACACTTTTTTTCCCAAAGCGTCGAAAGCATACGGTAATCAATTACGCGATGAATTCCGAGCTGTCGATTTCCGGAAGCAAATTTATCCGCTCGAAAATGACGCGTTTTCCGTTTTGTCGACTACTAGCGGGGGGTGTTAATTGGAAAGGCGCGTAGTCCCTAAAAAGGATGAGGAAAAAGAGGTGTCTATTGGAGCAATTCGGAATTCGGCATTACGAATTGACCTTCATCTAATAGGGGCAGAAAAAGGAGGCGGCAAATTGCCCGGCGGTTCCAGCCAACCGTATGTTTTGGGTATAATTTAATTGCGGGATGCGTAGGCACTCGAAATCATGAATATTTCATCAAATTGACAGCCAGTTGAACGAATTAACCGAAAAAATTCGAAGATTTGACCTTGGGCATCGAAATACGAATTTCATGGCGTAATCGAATGGATTTTTGCGATTTCAAGAGTTTTCCGTCGGTTTTTTATCGGAAGCTTTAAAATGTTGTCGGCTCAAGCGAAAAAGTTGAAAAATCGCTTAAAGGGCACGTTCAGGGACGTTTTTTTGCAAAAAAGCAAAGGCTTTTGCCGCGGCCGGGGGTCGAACCCGGGCCCCTCGCTCGGGAGGCGCGGATGCATACCAGTCAGCCACAGCTACAACCTGGCGAGGGGGCGAGGGGCGCCCCACGCCGCAAAGGAGGGGAATGGCCTGTCACAGCACGGGCAGGCAGTGCGCGCGGTCCCTACGTCCATAGGGTGTACACGTTGGGACGAGTACATGGCCCCTCCCTGAACGTGCGCTTTAATGGGGCGGGGAAAGTCAGATTTAATTCCATGGCGTAATCGAATAGATTTGCGCGAATTCGAGGACTTTTCGAGCTCCAGCTCTTTTGCTTTTTTAATAGTATCTTAAAATGGCGGCCGGTCCATCGAAAAACTCAAAAGTGTTTAAAGGAGCCGTGAAACAAAGATAATTTTATTGCGTAATCGATTACCAAGCGAAAACCACGAAATTTTCCAAAAAACTAGTAAGTGTTTTCTGTCTGGTGATCCTAAAAAATAAGTTTACATGTTTTGGGCTCATTTCTGGTGAATTTAGTGATGTGTGTGAGAAGCATGCCCTCAGGCTATTAGCCCCCAAAAACATTGCTAGCAGGAATGGGAGTGGTTCTTGGGAATTCTGCACCTAATCGAGCACCAGACTACCCCCCACGCCATCCACGCCATCCACCCACATCAAAGCTCATTTCCCTAAAATCAACGCTGAAATTAGGTGGGTTTTTTGGATCTGTATTTCGTGTCGTAATCGGTTTTCTAGCTGTCGCCGTCCCTTTAAAAGTCCGTAATTCCTCGCGTAATCGTTTCCAGCCCGGAATATCGCCAAATACCACGAAAATTCAATAAATACGGATTTTTCTTCGAACTTGCAAAGCGCAATTACGTGGCGTAATCGATTTCCGCCTGTCGCTACCCCTTTAAAAGCCCACCTTTGCTATTGTTTTCATTTTCGATTTTGAGCACCAAAAAGTGCTCTAAATGCCACATTACTCCATTTATACGGTTTATGCAGGGATTTTCGTGAGTAGAAAGACGACAGAAATCGAGAAACAAGAAGAAAATCATGGAAAAAATCGATAAATTCGGCAAAAATCGATAAATTATTCGATAGGTTTGAGCATCAGTTGGATATGCAATTCATTTGCATCGACGAAAAGGGACGGGTCGCGGATTACCTGCAAAAATTGGTTGTAATACAATTTTTCGGGTATTCACCTCGTGGAACGGCAACTCGGCTCCTTTGTGCTTCAGGCTCAGCTCTGTTGAATCTCTGCAAAAACGGGATATCATGGCGTAATCGATTCAGCAGCTTCGCCATTTAAATGACCTGGAATCTCTGGGAAAACCGGGAAGTTTCGTACCGTAACCGACTACTAGAGGGATTCTCGATTACGTATTTTACGGATTTTTGAAGGATTTCGTGAGTTTTAGAAACTGAATTTCATAGCGTAATCGATTGCGGTGTAATTGATCCGTCGCCCTCCCTTTAAAATGAAAATTCAGGCCGACCTCGACTTTGTGAAATTCTTCCTGCCGGCCACCGAACGCAACACTTTGCTCTCGTCACAAATCGTAAACAGGTATTCGACGGATCTGGAATTTCATGGCGTAATCGATTGGTTTTATCGTTTTTTTTTGGGTACCTCGCTTGATCAATTTCCTCAGCCACCAATATCACTCGTTTAGTTTCATCACCACCGTAATTCGAGCCGATTATCTAAACAAATAGAATTAAAAAATACAATTAAACTTAAAAAATTCCATTTTTTGCAAAAATGTTGACAAAAATCGATTTTTCCTCAAAAATACGGCAGCTTACTTTAAGGGACCACTTCCATCCATCATTCTGGATAGCAGAGGCACGGGTCATAAACTAAAAATGACAATTAGTGGTGGTGTACGGTGGATTGGGTCGTACCGAGGAACTAATCTCTGGCCGAGTACGACTGTCGAGATCATGACGACTGAGGATGATACGGGCTGTCCAACGCACGTCAGAATACAGGCGGACCAGGAATTGACAGCCGGAGAATTCGCTTAAATTGGCCGGGATACGGTAGATACGGTAATTGGGGTAGTTTGTAGTCATTGATCTGTAGTCTGTAGTTCGGAGGAGGAAATGCCAAAATGGTGTTTTAATAGCTAAATAAACACAGAATGGGCTATACAGGGTGTCCCAAAAAAAAAACCCCCCTACCTAGCGGTCCGCGGCCAAGTCCGATTTTTATGATTTAACTACCAATCGAAAGCTCTCGAAACGGCGAGAAAACAAGCGGGTTTCGTTTTCTAAGATTTAATCTGATTCTAGCGATATTTCAGGTTTTCCTAAAAAACCGGGAATTTTTCATCAGGAATTTCGCAATTAGCATGCAGATCTCGCATAAATCAGCCGTTTTCATGGTTTTTGGACATAAAATTAGCAAATAAAAAGGCTTAATTAAGAAATTCAACCCTCCTTGTTTTCTCGCCTTTTCGAGAGCTTTCGATAGATACCTAAACGGCGAGAAACGGAATCGACTGCGGACCGCTAGGTAGGGGGGGTTTTTTTTTGGGACACCCTGTACTGGCCTCCAGACTACAAAATGACATTAAATTTAAATTTGCGACTGTATGTTAATGGAAGATACCTGAAAATTGAAAATTTTTGAAATTTAAGTTGTTAGCATTTTTACGAAATTTGAGTTGTTTGGCGTGTTTTATTAATTTAAGATTGGCCAGAAATGTTACCTGGCTTGATTACGGTATTTTAAAGGGCCGCAGAAGTTTTTAAAGGACCGTTGAAGCCAAAAAATGCGAAAATTCTGAACTTTTGAAAAACTGTTTTTTACGCAATTTTTCGAAGTTCGAGCGATTTTTAAGCCATTCTAATAATTTTACAGGGATGCTAAAGCAAAACCCACACTGCCTGAGCCCTCCTAGCCAGCGGTTGAGCCTGATATTTGTATGCCAAATTGACGAATGGTAGATGGAGGGAACGGGCTGTCTCCGGCATTTCGCCCTCTTCTACCTCGGCCAGTTCCTCGCCGGACATGAAGGGGAATCTAAAAAATCTTGGATTCTGCAAAAATATACAAAAATAGGTATTAATCACGGAAACATTGGCCAAATTTTGGTGTCACCATCCCTTTAAAATAAAAATTGCACGCCAGATTACGGTGTTGTAGATTCAACACCACGCACCACACCACATACCACCACCTTTTACCACCAGAACCAGAACGTTCTGCCCTCGAAATCCCTTGAAATTCTGACCTAATCAACGGCAGTAGGTTATTCATCAGTTTTGCCACCGTAATCGGTTCTCTTCTTTCGGGGTGGGAAGGGGAATTCAACCATCGGAGGACTGCTTTCCAGACGATGAATTCATCTGGAAAAATTTATCTATTTATCTGTTTCTCTCCCCCCCCTCTCTCTCGATTTCTGCTATCTGACACCCATTCTACCGTATCCCCTCATTTTCAACTTACTGGATACAATTAGCGAATTATGCCTCAAAATATGTTCGATCTGTTCAGCATCAGCCGATTCCCATTCTGATTGCCATTCTTCGCCGATTACTGTCTCGAATTGATGGCCAATTGACGAGATGCAGGCACGGATTATTGGCTGGAAAAAGAGAAATGTTAATGTCCCTTTAAAACGTAAAACTACGACTTTAAACGACTTTAAAGGGAGCGTGACAGCCAGGTTATGGCTAGAGATAAGAAAGAGACAGACGGAAATAGAGAGAGAGAGAAACCAACCGGATGATATGCCCTTGTTGCATAGCTGAACCATTCTGTGTACAGTTCTTTCAACGATAAATGCGGGAGAATTCGGTGGATCGCGTAGTCTTGGCATACCTAAAAAACGCGCGTTTTCTCGCTTAAATGGCGCTTTCTGGCTTCAATGTTCCTTTAAGCACTAGGGGTTTCAGGCTAGGGCGGCCCTTTAAAATCTATCGATTTCTGAATCAAAGTTATCGGTTTATGCCTTCATTAACCATGTATTTGAATTTTTAGCTCAATTTTAAGATCCTATGGATTTCTAGCTTCGATGACTCTTTAACCGCAAAGGATTTTGCCATTAATGGTCCTTTAAAATGCAATGGATTCGTGCCTTCAATGGCCCTTTAAAATGCAATAAATTTCTGCCTTCAACAGCCCTTTAAAAGCTATAGATTTCGAACTAGAAGAATCCCTTAAACCCTATGGATTTTTACCTTCGATGGCCCTTTAAAAGGAATAAAAATGGATACCTTTTTCAGGGATGGAACATTATATTTGTCAGCGAGAACGAGTATTGGTAGAGTATTCTGTGGATGTAGAATGACATGATTACAGTAGAGAAAACGAAGAAAGGAAGAGAAGTCTTCTGTACAACCCGGTTCTTCCATCAAATGAACCACCTGAAAATGGGAAAACAGAATGGTAACTAAAGACTACAAGCTACAAATCTCTGTTTTGGCTACTGACTACAAACTACAGAGAACTTCACCACCCTAGTGCACAGACTACAGACTCCAAACTAAAAAAATACTCTTTTTGGGCTACAGACTACAAACTACAACGAAATCCGCCACCCTGGTGGGCAGGCTACAACTATAAACTACAAAATACGCTTTCTGGGCTACAGACTACCAATTCCAGTAGAAAGTGGATAACAAAAATCGCAACCACAGAAGACACTTTTTGTTGAAAAAAAAAACAAAAAACTGGGCTACAAAATACATTTTTCTTGTTGAAATCGGAATTTTGGAGTACAGGCTACAGACTACGGACTAGAGTACAGTATACCTTTTTGTGTCCATCCCATTGGTCGGCAAACATCCGATCGAACACATCACTCCCACGCGCCAGAACGACACGATGGGCTGGGAAACTGGAAGGGCAGGGTTACGGTAGCGGGTTAAGGTAGGGTGTCGCCATCCCTTTAATCGATTCCAAAACGTACGGTAGGCTACGACCGACGCCCGAATACGGTATAATGACTTTAAAGGGGCGCGACAGTTAGTTTGAGCAATTTCTGCTGTCGTATTCCCTTTAATCGAGTTTCTGGGCGTACGAATTGCTCCAAAATACACCAAGCAACTGGAATTTGGCTGCATTTCGTACAGTGGATGCCAGAATGCGGTAATGCGCGCTAAAAGGAGCGCTTTGTACATTTTTTGCTGTTATGGTTCCTTTAATCGCGCTCCTAGGTGTACCAAACGCTCCAAAATACGGACATACCGTCATTTAGGTTGTAATTTGTACTTGGAGATACTGTGGATGCCCGAGTACGGCAATCTGGCATTAAAGGAAGCGTGACAGCTGGGGTTTTGGGGAGTGTTTCATGGCGCTATCCCTTTAATCACGTCCGTGGGAGTACGAATTGCTACAACCTACGTCTAGATCCTGTAATAGGCCGTATTTCGTACCGTGGACGTCAGAATACGGCATCTGGGTATAAAGGTGCCGTGACAGCTAGTTTTGAGCAATTTTTGTGTGTCACGGTCCCTTTAATCGAGTTTCTAGGAGTACAGGGTGGGGCAAAAAAAAGTGCCGTAGTTTGTCCCCAATTATCTCGAGAAGGAAAGATATTTCACCGTGCGTTACCATGCCAGAATGCTTAAATATGTCAGGAATAGGGAAATAACTCAACTTGATTTTTGCGATTTTTGAGTACGCAACTGTACTATTGACGCTGGTTACGACCGAAAATTGTGCGTTCTGGAATGGGTGGTGGGAAAATTCTGATTTTTGGCTTAAAAATCGTATAAATTTGTAGAAAGGTAATGCCCAAATCTTAGAATTTATCGAGGTCAGTTTCATTTTTAAAAAGCAAAACAATTTTCGCAATTTTGCGTTATTTTTGTTCTTTGAGTCATAACTCGCTTATAACTCGCTGCCTATGGCTGATATTTTGTCAATGACCTATCCAAATATTAATCTCGGATTCCACAGCAAATTCCACCACAATCTATGGTATTTTTGTATTGTTTGCTAAAACGTGCCCCAGAGGGGTACTGTAGGTTTCGTTTTTCCCGCTTTTCTCGGCTCCCTAGATTCGATCCGGCTGAAATTTTCTGGGTTGTTAGGCACAAGTAGGGGCACCTTACTGCCAAATTCCGAGAGCGTACTATCCACAAACTTTCATGAAAATGACTAAAAACTGATTTTGTAATTCTGCCACAGAATTTTGTAAATTTTTTGGTCAGTTGTACCAAAAACCGCTACTATTAGTTTTACGAGTAAGATCGAAGCGATTCCATGGCAAAAACACTCACGAAACTCGCTAATTTCGGTTTTCTACAGTAACCTACGTGGAGCGCGTTTTAGCATGCCATCACAAAATTCCATAAAGAGACGATTTTTCTGTTCGAGGGCCTTCTAGAGGTGATTGTAAGATAGCCTGTTAAAAATCACTGATTTTGGGTGGTAAATAACAAAGTTACGAGGCCAAGTGCAAAACAAGGCTAGAGAGCCGATTTTTGGTCCGAGTAGCCGGGGTCAATAATTTCGAAATTATTAAAACAAAAAACCACCTAAGTCTTTTTGGATACGATTATAGCTTTGATGTTATTATTTACGCCTGTCAAATTCCGGAGCAATCTGATTCAAACGTATGGTGACTTTCAGCTCAAATTCGAAGATCACCCTATTCCAAAATCGAAGTTTAAAATTCTTTAAAAAAAAATTTCGACGGAAAATTGTCTTAGTCTTTGCATAGTTTTATTCAACTGATAGCACAGACTTATTGCTCAAAATATCCCTACGACTCCACCTTCCAAAATTTTTTGACGCAACCTCCAATTCGGTTTATTTCGGGTTTTGATGAATTTTCCTGGCGCCAACCGCTGGTTAAAAAATTCATGAATAAGGCTTTAGGAGGCGCTTATTCACCAGGTATCAGATAAAATAAAACAATAATTTTCACAGCGCCACTAAATTTTATAAAATGGTGACAAGATTCGGAAAAAGCGCGAGACCAACCGTTTTGGAAGCCTCTAAAAGACGCCCTTCCAAAGAGGTACGGTAGATAGAAATTTTGTAAATGATAGATAAACCCCAGTACTACATAGCTAAGCAAAGAAAACAGCTGAGTCCCCTTTGGCAATTTAGGAAATATTTTTCCAAAGTTCGATTTCGAGACCTCGAAAAATCCATGACCAGGGGTCGATGAAAAACTCGAAAATTCATCGATCTCAAAAAATTTTTTAAGATTTTTATGCGATTGTAACGGGCTCGTAGATATTCCACAACAACTGATTTTGAGGTTTTCGCCAGAGGTTTTTTAATAATAAAATTTACGAAATTTCTCCATACAAAATGTCATTCCTCTCTAACTTTTCAACCAGACCTCAAAAATTCTTAAATTTTTAGGTACATATCTGGTGCTTATATTAACTTACGTAATAAAAATTAGATGCCAGCCACCACAGGAAATTTAGAAAAGGGCAAAGTAAGATTTTCCGAGCGCACAGTTTTCGGGTGTCATTTATATTGATACGTCGCCAAAAATCGCAAAAATCAAGTTGAGTTATTTCCCTATTCCGGACATATTTAAGCATTCTGGCATGGTAACGCACGGTGAAATATCTTTCCTTCTCGAGATAATTGGGGACAAACTACAGCACTTTTTTTGCCCCACCCTGTACACGGCACTCAAAAATACGCCAAAATTTTGGGATATTTGCAATTCGTACTGTGGATCTCAGAATAGGGTAATCCAGTTTAAAGCAGCGTTTGCGAAGGTTTCTGACTGTCACCATCCCTTAATCCTGTTCCCAAGAGCAATGATACGCCCAAAATACGCCAAATTCCACTTACCGTACTCTCCTCCGGCACATTAATGTGACATCGGATAGATGTGCGTTGCTGAAATATTTTCGCGAAATCGCTCATCGACTCCCCGGTCATCCCCGAAATAGTCGACGCCTGAAAAAATATTTCAGGTTTTAAAATTTATTTTTCGATTTTTTAGGCTTAAGCCCAAATGCCTTGAAAATTTGAACGTTTAGCTAATTGCCCGCCAGAAAGGCCGCAAAGGAGAAGCCAAAAGAGAGGGGCTTATTCCTTCCGGAAACTATCCATTTGACCGGGTCAACGGCCCTGATTTTTGGGGATCGTTAAGATATCTCAAAAGACCGCAAAATTTTTTTGATGGTTTTAGTGTTTGGTAAATTAATTATAGCCAGTTAAAATATATTAGGTCAAAACTACCGTAATCCATTGACTAAATTAAACTTTTTAAAAGTGTTTTGGCTTAATTGGCAGTCAGTTTAGGTAATAAAAAATATTACAATACTAAACGAAGTATTACTGATATTGGTACTAACTGGCGGTCAATGTAGCCAATAAAATCGTTTACGACACCAAAACCGTATTTTTTCAAAAGTACCGTACCTAACGTTTCCACCGCATCCGCACAGTCTCGATATTGTTCCCAGTACTCTGCCGTCATAACAAAAACGTGAAAAATATATTCGCAGAAATGGATAGAAAATGAGGATGCAGGAAATACCTTCACTAAATGTATTCAAAGTTATATTAAAAAGGCAATATTGTATCGTAGCATATCGTATCGGAGCATCATCGCATTCGAGCGTATCGTAGTAGCGTATCCTAATTCTAGCGGCGCGCATCATAGCGTATCGTAGCGTAGCGTATTGCATCGGTGTATCAAAGGTAATGTATCGTAAACGTCGCGTTGCGTATTGTATCGTAACGTTGCGTAGCGCATTGTATCGTAACGTAAGTAAATCGGGTGCAGCGTATACAAGCGTAGCGTAACGCACGTAGCTTCGTCCAGTTTATCGCGACGTATCTTAGCGTACCGCGTCGTAAGGTAGCGCGAATTCGCCTCACACAAAAGGACCCGTCAAAAACAGAGCTTTTTCGGGGCCAATAACCCGAGATTAAACGGTGGGCAGGGTGGGGTTAAGCTATTTTCGACGCCAATTTTTTGTCGGGGTGGAATTTATACGATGACCAATCCAAAAATCGTGGGCTCAAAAAATCGATTGATAATCGCAAAAAGTCATAACATCACAAAAGACACGGGAAAGAAAAGGTCAGAAATTTTTTTTTGAATTGATAAAATAATGACAAAATAATTGAAAGAAAAATTTATAGTGTTTCACAAATTTTATTCTACTTTCGTTAACTGGAAAGTGACGCTTGACACCTCAAAAAAATGAGCCCGTCTGCAGAAAAAAATGGAATGAATAATGGCTTATCACGCCTTTGGCTCGAGGGGGGCCTTGGGCTTTTTGGGGGAAGGCGTGTCTCGAATCCGTTGAATGTTTACTTTATAGAAGAGAGCGAGAGAGAGAGAGAGAGAGAGAGAGAGAGAGAGAGAGGGGAGAGAGAGAAATAACTCCAGAAAAAGCCAAATCAAATAAAGCGAAAGGTGCTAAAATTGGGAACACCAAAGGATGCTGCATGAGGGCAATAAGGCAACACTCGAAATAGACAAAAACACGCTCAAAAAATGCAAAAATTCATGCCCAGCCATTTTTTACTTATGGGGGAACCGGTTAGCAACAGAATGCCAGGCAAAAGGCCTGAGTTCAACCACCCAGCGAAAAAATTTTGCTTTTGAAATGCTTTCAAACAAGCTAACTGTCAGAAAAAACCTCGAAAATCGACACTGCCCGGGCAGCTGGAAAAATGCTCACAGGGGATTATGAAAATTTTGGTGGGGAAGAGGCGAGGAAAGGGCGACTGCTAGTCATACTGATGGGGAAAAAGCACTTTGTACGTTGAAACGATTACGCTATGAAATCTGGGTTTTGTCAACCGATTACGGCATGAAATAGACTTCCAAATAGCGTCAAAATGCTGGA